AGTTTTATCTAACACTCTTAAATAATTCTTTTTTTTTGTCAAAAGTCCACATAGGCTGATTCAATTACTTTAGAATCCAACTGACAAAAAGAATTATTTTACTTTACTCTTATCACAATAGTATCAGTGAATAATTCACTTACTTTACCCCATGGGTTACCACAGTTGTACCCTGAACTTTAAATAATTGTCTCCTTTTCGTCAAAGTCTACACAGGTAGGTTCAATTCCTTTAGAACACTCTTTGACAAGACAATTTATTCCCCTTATCTCTGTTAAACTGTGAAACTTACTTAAAGATATCACCTGTTAAGGCTAATCACTCACATGCCAGCTAACTTAACGTTTTCTAACTTTTTTCTGACTGACACTCACTTGACTTGTGCTCACTTGGTCACTTATATACATGTTTTCCAACTGAGGCCTGTAACTTTCTAGAAACTAGGAGACAATGTAACAATACTCAAATAGCGAGTGAAACTTAGAAGTTTTGAGAAAGATGATGTCAACAATAATACAACAATTGAACTACACACACACAACGTTCAACTCTTACCAAGTTATGTAACAAACTTTATCATACTATCACCTTTCAAATAATTACTTTTAACACTCTTTTTATGAAAACTAAATAATCATTTAACATTAAATCACTAAATTATAACTCTTATACTAAACAGCCCTGTATATCCAACAAATAATATTCGACACATGTCCACCAAGTTTCATCAAAATCTGATCATTTTTGACTGAGTTATAGAGCAAACATAGCATGAGAAATCAATCACCATGTTAACAGATAGATACTTTTGGATTATCATGCCCTTGCTGTGACCTTGACCTTTGATCCTCAAAAACTAATCACTTCTAAGTTGGGTTGTAGTCCAAATGTATACCAACTTTTGTCCAAATCCATTTAGCCATTTGAGAAGTCTTGCTGACAAACTTGCACACACAGAGGTGAAAACATAACCTCTGTCCTCCTTCAGTGGTGGAAGTAATAAATGCTGAACATGCACTCACGATTTTAGCTCGGTACAATAAACAATAGAAAGAATCACCACCATCATCCGAGTAGGGAAATCTACTATGGTAATCACCCACTGTGAAAAACTTGCTGAAACATAGTGTTGGATATCCACATAGAGACAGCAAAGTCAAGTAACAATATGCAACAACAAAATTGGGAACCTTTCACATGACAGTTTCCAATTAAATCTTTCGACATTGGGTCGGTCAATTTGACCGAGTCACATGACCTTCTGCACTGGTTTAAAGTTGACATAAATTTTATACTTATAACTCTCTATATATTGGGTATATCTTCACGAAATTTGGCAGTCTTTCAATTGATATTACAAGTCTTTTACATACAAAAAGTCATATTTCGTAGTGAAGTATTTCTAATAAAATAAAATTGTTTTGTCCATGAATATATTGAGTATTTGTT